TTCAAAGAAAAGTTGAGGACTTTATTAAAGAAGTGATTTTGAGAAATATCAAAGAAGAAGAGAATTTTTATGGAGTGTGTTATTTTTATATAGTATTATATAAAAATCTATTTTTTTTCAAACCTGATTATTTTACGGGGTTGGGTAGTACTTACTTAGCTCTAAAGCTAATTTTTGTTTTCTTTCTTTGTTTTGTTTCTGCACGATATTTGTGCAGGTGATGATGGTTATGTTGACTGCTGAATGCATGCGCCTGAGAGCGAGTTAGAAGTTGCCTTAGTTAAATTTAGTCTTGAAATAATAAACATTTATTTATTTAGTTTTATTGTTTTGTTTTAGTTGCCTGTGCATCCGGTTGAGAGATGACCGGATGTGGCGGTAACACCCATTTCCCTGTTAAGACTTCCGCTGTACTCTTTAAGATTTATTATCAATAAATGAAAGTTTTATTTCAATCATATCAATGTTTTTGGGCGGGAAATTTGGGGGTGTTACAAATTGGTATCAGAGCCTTCGGTTTTCCAAAAGGATTAGAACACGAGGTAATAGGTCGTAGGGAGGAATTCTGTCAACTAGACGATAAGAGTCTGAGCTGGTTGGTGCTTAATTGAGTCTTTGCGCTCGTCCAACCAACTGGGAATTTCTCCTTGTGCTGAAACTTCGTTGTTCGAAATCTTTGATGGAAACCATGGAAATTATACCTTCAAAGTGGGGATTTTCAAAATGTTTTCATAAAAACTAGGAGAAAAGGACAGACTAGGAACAAGGCCTTTTAGGAACGCGGTGAGAGGGAGAAACCTTTGCGGATTTATTTGTTTGAAATTCGTGCTTATGTGAAGAATATGGAATAGGTAAGATCCTTTGTATGTGTTTATCTGTTTTAAGAATCAGAAGTTAGTAGAGAACTTGTATTAAGAATGCCTTAGTAATTAGTACTCGTTTTCTTTATTAAGAATCATGCCGCCAAGGAGAGACCCCCATGCAACCCCAACTGTCCAGGAGCTGGCCCAAACTGTCCAGCAAATGGCGCAGCTCATCGGAGCGGCTCAACCCCAGAACCATGGGATTGACTACGCAACAAGAGTAGCCGGGCGGAACCCTCCAAAATACATGGGCGAGGAGGACCATCTTATCTTGGAGGACTGGATTCGCACTTTCGATAAGCTCTTTGACTCACTCAATTGCCCGATGGAGCAACGAGTGAACATTGCGGTTTACTATCTGCACCAAGAAGCAGACCACTGGTGGGCCGCCAACGGACCAGCACTCCTCGAGCAACCAGACTTTGACTGGGAGGACTTCATAGTAGCGCTGCGTGATCGCTTCTACCCGGATCACGTAAAAGAGGCAAACTATGATGAGTTTGTCAATTTCAAGCAAGGTGACCTGACTGTTCAGGAATATCACACGAAGTTCGTCCAATTGGCTCGTTTTGCCAAAGACCTGGTGTCAACGGAGGCCAGCATGACCCGCAGATTTGTTAACGGGCTTAACTACGGGGCCCAAAAGTTCGTGACTGTAGCGGAGCCGCGGAACCTGAACGAGGCATATAGGAAGGCTGGTAAGTACTACCTGGTACACCAGAAAGAAAGAGAGGCACAGAAGAGAGACCGGAAGAATGCTGACATGGAACAACAACAAAAGAAAGCCCGAACCGACCGCCCTGAGCAAAGGCAAAACAATCAAGGCGGTAGAACCTTCCAAGGCCAGGGTCAGGGGAGAAACCAGCCAACTCAGGCACGGTACTACAAATGCAAACTATGCCCAAACAACCATCCTGGGAAGGATTGTGCGGGGAATGCGGTGAAGTGTTACAACTGTAACCTCATGGGGCATAGGGCATACGAGTGCCGGAAACCCCCGAGCCAGGGTCAAAACCAAGGGAATAATCAAACCGGGGGTGGGGATAATCACAACCGTGGTAATCCCGGTAACCGCCCAGCAGAGGCCAACCGTAATCAAGGCCAGGGAGGGCAAAACAACACCCAAGGCCGGATTTATGTCATGAACCAGGCTCAAGCAAATGCCCACGACGTGGTGTCAGGTACCTTTCTTGTAAACTCCACACCTGCTCATGTACTGTTTGATTCGGGTGCGTCCCACAGTTTTATAGCCTCAAAATTTGTGGAAAAGTTAAAGTTAGAACCTACCACTAGACATAATCTTAATGTAAAAACGGCATCCAACAAAGTTGTAGCATGTGGAAGTGTTTTCTCTAATATTCCCATAGTCATATCCGATACCGAACTACCTGGAGATCTAATCCAGTTTGACTTGGAGGATATCGACGTGGTGTTGGGTATGGATTGGCTAGGAAAATATAAGGCCAAAATCCTGTGTGATGAACAAAAGGTGGTCTTAAGAGGACCCAACAAGAAGCGTGTATCCTACAAGGCGGTCGCATCTAAGCCAGGCGTGAAGCTGGCAACCATGCAACAAGTCAAACGATACGTCCAGAAGGGGTATGAGGTTTTCTTGTGCATGATCAAAGACATAACATCCGAGAACCCAACCATTGACCAAATCCCTGTGGTCAATGAATTTCCGGATGTGTTTCCAGAAGAAATTCCGGGAATGCCGCCAGAGAGGGAAGTTGAGTTTTCGATTGATCTAATGCCGGGCACCGCACCCATTTCGAAGGCACCGTACCGAATGGCACCGAAGGAGATGCAGGAGCTAAAGGAACAACTCGAAGAACTATTGGGGAAGGGCTACATCAAACCGAGTGTCTCACCTTGGGGCGCTCCGGTCTTGTTTGTGAAGAAGAAGGATGGAAGTCTGAGACTGTGCATCGATTACAGGGAGCTGAACAAAGCAACCATCAAAAACAAGTACATGCTGCCTCGCATTGATGACCTCTTTGATCAACTGAAGGGAGCTAGCACATTCTCCAAAGTTGATTTGAGATCCGGGTATCATCAGGTGAGGATTGCGGAGAAAGATATTCCAAAGACGGCCTTTCGAACGAGATACGGACACTATGAGTTCACCGTGATGCCGTTTGGCCTAACAAATGCGCCTGCGGTATTTATGGACCTCATGAACCGTGTGTTCCGACCCTATCTTGACTTGTTTATTGTCGTATTCATCGACGACATCTTGGTGTACTCCAAGACACCAAAAGAGCATGAAGGACATCTGAGGACAGCGCTGCAGACTTTGAGAGAGAATCAGCTTTACGCCAAACTATCAAAGTGTGATTTCTGGAAGGACCGGGTCGCATTCTTGGGCCACATCATCACCCAAGAAGGTGTATCCGTTGACCCATCCAAGATTGAAGCAGTGATAGACTGGCCTGCACCCACAACCGTGACGGAGGTCCGGAGCTTTCTAGGCTTGGCGGGCTATTATCGCAGATTCGTGAAGGATTTCTCAAAGATAGCAAAGCCTTTGACTAATCTCACGAAGAAGACTATGAAGTTCGTATGGAGTGACGAATGCAAGGAATCCTTCCAAGAGCTGAAGCAGAGATTAACAACTGCACCTGTCTTGACCCTACCATCCGGTGCTGAGGGCTTCGAGATTTACACTGATGCTTGTTTGAAAGGGTTGGGTTGCGTATTGATGCAAAACGGTAAAGTGGTGGCATATGCATCAAGGCAACTAAAGACCCACGAGGTCAATTACCCAACTCATGACTTGGAACTGGCAGCAGTTATTTTTGCTTTAAAGCTATGGAGGCACTATCTCTATGGGGCACAATGTAAGGTTTACACTGATCACAAGAGCCTGAAGTACATCTTCACCCAAAAAGAGCTTAACATGAGGCAGAGACGCTGGCTGGAACTCGTCAAGGATTACGACTTGGAGATCCAGTACCATGAAGGAAAAGCAAACGTAGTTGCCGATGCGTTGAGCCGAAAATCAACTCACTCCTGCAAAGCAACATGGATACTACCAGATGAGCTATATCGGGACTTTCAGAAGCTAGACTTGGAAGTTCGGGATTTCGGAGAGGTGGATCGGGAAACGCGGTTACTCACCATGACCGTTACCCCATCTATTTTCGACGAAATTCGAGAAGGGCAGCCTGGAGACACAAAGCTAGATAGAATCCGAGCCGATATGACAAATGGCGTGAACGGACCGTTCAAACTGCACGAAGATGGGAGCATTCGACACAAAGGAAGGTGGTGTGTTCCGATGAAATGTGCAGAGCTTAAGAAGAAAATCATGGGGGAAGGGCACAGCACGCCCTATTCAGTGCACCCTGGAGGCGACAAACTCTACAAAGACATCAAAAAGAATTTTTGGTGGCCAAACATGAAGAAAGAGGTAGCTGAATTCGTGGCTCGATGCTTAAACTGCCAGAAGGTGAAAGCCGAACGTTGCAAGCCCAAAGGACTCATGCAACCCTTGGAAGTGCCAAAATGGAAGTGGGATTCCATCTCCATGGACTTTGTCGGGGGCTTACCCCTAACCAAGTCTGGCAAAGACAAGATTTGGGTTATAGTTGATCGGTTAACAAAGACCGCTCGCTTTATCCCGATGAACGAGACCTGGAGCATGGAGAAATTAGCCCGAGCGTACATTAAGCACGTGGTTAAGTACCATGGAGTTCCACAAGACATTGTTTCCGACCGTGATTCCAGATTCCTATCTCAATTCTGGAAGGAGTTGCAAGCTGCTATGGGGACGAAGCTGAGGCTGAGTACTGCCTTTCACCCGACCACTGATGGACAGACGGAGCGAACCATCCAAACACTCGAGGACATGCTGAGAGCATGTATGTTAGACCTGCAAGGGTCATGGGACGAACACTTAGACTTAATAGAGTTTTCGTACAACAATAGCTACCACGCCAGTATCAAAATGGCCCCGTACGAAGCTCTATATGGTCAAAAGTGTAGAAGCCCACTATGTTGGGGTGACATGGTAGATCAAGTGGTTTTGGGACCGGATTATCTCCAAGACACCATCGAGAAGGTGAAGCTAATCCAAGCCAAGATGAAAGCTGCACAAGATCGTCAGAAGTCTTATGCAGACCTGGGGAGGAAATCGGCTGAATTTGAAGTGGGAGAAAAAGTCCTACTTAGAGTCTCCCCGACAAAGGGAGTAATGAGATTTGGAAAGAAGGGAAAGCTAAGCCCGAGGTTCATCGGTCCGTATGATGTCCTCGAGCGAGTGGGAAGAGTGGCATATCGTCTAGCTCTACCCACTGAGCTGGCTAAGGTATAATTACACTTTAAAACCTCTCGTTGGTGGATACCTTACTAAATATCTCTCAAAACTAACGTATGATATGCTTAGGTACACAATGTTTTCCATATCTCCCAATTGAAGAAGTATGTTCACGACGATTCACATATCCTTAACCCTGAGGTATGAAACATAACCTTAAGGAATTTTTAGAATCAATTTAGTCACATCTAACCTCGACTTTATTAGGTGGTCGAGTTAGACGAAACATTGACTTACGAGGAGAGACCTATCCAGATTCTGGACACCAAGACTCGTGAGACTAGAAGAAAAGCAATTAAGATGGTGAAAGTATTGTGGTCTAACCACTTGGCTGAAAACGCCACTTGGGAGACCGAGGATGATTTGCGCAAACGCTACCCTGAGTTGTTTGATAAAGGTAATAAGGTATTTTAGTTACGGGGACGTAACCTCTCTTTAAGTGGGGTAGAATGTAACACTTGGTAATTTATATCATTATTAGAGCTGATGCTTCGGGGACGAAGCATTCTTTTAAGGAGGGTAGATTGTCACACCTCAAAATTTTAGATAAAATAATTTTGTTGATCAGATAAAATGTTATGATATTTTGTGACATTTTTAGTTAGATAACATTTGGGGTAATAGAAGTAACATTTTTTTTATGATAATCATATGAGATAAAAGTGACAATTACTATTAGAAAAATATGTGTGTAAATTACACAAATAAAACTCCAATCCGTAATATACACATACTATTAATACGTAACTTTATACGTAGTAATACGTATAGTAATAAGCTACAATAGTAAAGTAAGAAGAGTTAACTAAACAACTACAAAGTTACATACATATATACGCATATAATAATATTAATAATAATAGTATACGAAGTATATTAACCAAGGAACGTATCATATCGGGACTTCATAAGAAGGAAGTATGCGGAGAACTTGCGATGTATCGGACCTTAATAATGCAGAGGATACATTAACATAATAACAAAACTAAACCTGCGTACAAATTCAATCGGATGAGACCAAGAAATTACAATCTGTTTATAACTCTAATACTTAAATTTGATCGGATGAGCTCAAAAGGAACCCTAGTATGCCTTAAGAACTGTATAAATACTGGCCTCAACCTTCACTTCCTTCCACCCAGAGCAGAGCTCGATCAATATATATATATACATACATATACACGTATATATATACATGTACACAAATTTCGACCCTTCGTTTTAGTCTAAACCGAGCCGTGAAAACACCATAGAGACCTTTCCCTTCTCGAGAGGAATCCAACGGTGAAAGAATCGTTGAAAACGGACGTGAAACGAGGGAGAAATAGCTTGCCGGAGTTCCGCCGGGCTAACCGTAAAAACGGAAAACGGAGAAGACGGAGGAGCTGCCGCTGCCGCCAACCCATCACTGACCTTTGCCGTCCCCAAACGAGTCTTCTACCACCACCGTATCACGAATCCGTCGAGGTAACCTTCCTTTCCTCCTGCCCTGCGTAGCTCATTCCATCGAGGAAGAAGAACAGTACTCTCTTCTCTAAAACAAAAATGTTGGGCCGTTGTTTAGGTTGTTTAGGCCAAAACTCCTAAGTAGTAATAATAATAATAATTATTATAATAATAATAGTAATATGTAGTAATAATAATAAAAATAGTAATAATAATAATCTGCAAAATTGATAAAATTGAGATGTGAGGTATTAATGGTGAAATTGGGAGGATTAATTGATAATAATCACTTGGATAAATTTGTTAATTGTTATTTAACATAGTTACCTAATGTTAAATAATAAAAAGGAAATTGATGGTTTAATTAATAAAAATTGATAAACAAATATTATATTAAAATTATAATTATTTAATTGGACTTAGTAGAGAAAATTGGATCGTTATTGTTTTCACTAAATTATTGGAATGATTGAAGTAGATTAATAATTTAACATAATTACGGACTTGAAAATATCAAGTGTTAGAATAATTAATAAAATCAGACTAAGTTGATGATGATTAGTTAATTTAAATTCGGATTCACTAATAGTGTCAACTAATATAAATTAATTATGAATTTTGAATAGTTAATATAATTCGGTTATGTTTTATTAAAATATTATTCGGATATTTTATTTAGACATAGAATTCAAATATTGTTATTAATGGCAGACTCATTGAGTAATTCAAAATAATATAACGAATTAGTCAGTATTCTAAACCCGTTATTATCCTAATCAGATGAATTAAAAGTTTATGGTTATTTCTAATAGGATAAACTTTAATTAGAATTTTTGGCCTATAATTATAATTCGTATGTTGTAATAGTTGAATACCAAATATGTTACGTACTCCGTATTATTCTTAATAATTCGAATATTAGATTAATTAATAGAATAAGGCTGATTTAAAAACAGTAATGAAATGAAATAGGAAATAAAGTGGTAAGAATAATAGAAGTGATTAATCGATGATTAATGGATATACTAAGTTCGATTTAAAAATTAGTCACATTAATGAACTCGAATAAAAATAATATATAAGAAAATAATTTGGGTAGATATTTAATGTTAGACAATCGACTAATTATATCATCTTAACTAGAAGGTGACAATCTAGAGACCATATTAGAGGAGGATAACTAGGAGCTTCAAGACTTAAGGTAAGTTTCTCTGCCGATCCAAAATTGTTTCCTCGTATTATATGCTTATTATGCATTATGTGATTAAGTGTGAATTGTGAATTTTGTGTATGTGATTTTGATGAATACAAATCAAGAGTACTTTTTGGGGTATTAAATATTTTTAAATACCTTTGAGATTATTTAGAGAGATTGAGAAATATTTTTAGAAGTGTATCTAAAGCCAAGATAAAATTTACGTTTTCATAAGAGGTGAGCACCGCGGGAGAAATCCGCGGTGTCGGTTTTCCACATCCGGATAAATGTGGAGGGTGATTAGAGCGGCTACTACTAAGAAGAGATTTTTGAGTAACTTTCGGATCGATGATCCCTTTTAAGAAGGAGAGTTGTGGTAGTAGTAGTAGTTCCGACGTAAAAGGGCTACTACTGCTAAGGGTGAGAATAAGTTTTCAGTGATAATTGGATCGATGATCCCTTTTAAGAAGTAGAGTTATAGTAGTAGTCCCTAATCATTCAAGAATTTTAAAAGGTGGGGTGGTTGGTAGACTGAGTCCCGACTACCCGAGATGACTTACTACTCGGAGGGCTTGGAATCCCTTTTAGAGGGTGTGCACACTTAAGGTAGTCATTTCGTTTCCGCAAGAGCAGTTGTGGTACCGGCACTTGTTCGGGGTGGCCGTCCGTAACCACGGTCCACCGGGCTCAGTCGAAAGGTTGAGCACCGCCCTTCTAAATTACTAGGAAGATAGAGAAGAAGTGAACTTTGAGAAATTCTAAGAGAAGAGTTACTATGGTATTTTCAAAGAAAAGTTGAGGACTTTATTAAAGAAGTGATTTTGAGAAATATCAAAGAAGAAGAGAATTTTTATGGAGTGTGTTATTTTTATATAGTATTATATAAAAATCTATTTTTTTTCAAACCTGATTATTTTACGGGGTTGGGTAGTACTTACTTAGCTCTAAAGCTAATTTTTGTTTTCTTTCTTTGTTTTGTTTCTGCACGATATTTGTGCAGGTGATGATGGTTATGTTGACTGCTGAATGCATGCGCCTGAGAGCGAGTTAGAAGTTGCCTTAGTTAAATTTAGTCTTGAAATAATAAACATTTATTTATTTAGTTTTATTGTTTTGTTTTAGTTGCCTGTGCATCCGGTTGAGAGATGACCGGATGTGGCGGTAACACCCATTTCCCTGTTAAGACTTCCGCTGTACTCTTTAAGATTTATTATCAATAAATGAAAGTTTTATTTCAATCATATCAATGTTTTTGGGCGGGAAATTTGGGGGTGTTACAGCCGCTTCATTGAATCTCTTGATCCACTCGGCCGCAATGGAGATGTCTCCCGTTCCATCAAATGGTTTACACCCCAAGTCTCTTGCCTCTTTGAGGTACTTTGAGATCCTTATTATCGGGACCTCGGTACCTCGATCATTCCGGGACTCTACATGTCCCCTAGAATCCACACGGCTTCTTCCCCTGGAAGCCCCTCCCAAAGCACGCCTTGCCCGGCGCCTTTGGCGATCCTGTTGGTATTGACGGAGCAGCTCCTCCATCCTTTCTAGAGCGTCATTATCGTCGCTCTCATCATCATCATCATATTCCCCATCATATGGGGTCTCAACCGGTTCGGTTCCCGGTTGATACGTTGAATCCTCCTCGGAGTCATACTGTTCATCAATTGTCTCCACATGACCGTCACTCACCGTTAACGAGTGACCTGCACGGCCCTGCCCACGAGACGCCCTCGATGCCCCTCGACTGCCATGTTGGGATCCTCCCGGTGCCTGGCCAGTCGGGTTTCTTCGAGTGACTTTACCGGTACGTTCCATTTCTGAAAGAGATAGAGATTGAGTCATTAGACCCGTATCAAATGTCAAATGACGGATAGGCACTTAAAGACATCCTTTGGCTCAAATCGCCGCCATGCCAATTGTTAAGGGTACCATCTTAACAATTAGAGACCTTGCAACTCAAGTACCAAAAGTTCCATAAGTACAAAACTTTATGCTCATGGTTTGCAAAAATCGTTTTCAAAAGGAATTTTGAAGCTTCATTATGAAGTTTACGGACTAAGGCTCTGATACCAATTAAATTGTCACGCCCCGGACCTACCGGACACGTCAACAACCCGCCGTATAGTACGAACAGTCAACCGCAGTTCAACTCATCCATACTATACAAGGCGTCTTGAATACCATTCACAATAGTACATCCATAAACAATCACAATGTAAAACATTTAATTTAAGCAGCGGAAACATTAATATAATATCCGAGCCACACGTGGCAAACACGGGCATACAAGCCCCAAATAAATATTCAAAATAATATCCATGAGCATTATTTAGATTGTTTTCAAAACAGAAACGGAGGAAGCACGAACCACGTCTTCTTCCCTTGATCTCCCCGAAGCAACGGGTGGTGGCAGCGACTCTTCAAGTTCTACCTGAAACTGTGAGGTGGCCTCCCCCGTGAAGGGGAGGTCAGTACTTGGAAGCATTTGACAAGTACAATGACAACTATACTAAGTATAATCAATGTTTCAATTTCTTAAGACCCTCAAATAGAGTGATATTATATCGTAGGCCGTAACCCCCGGTTACCCTGTTTTATAAATATACTTACTGTATATAAAGTCAAGTAGTCGGCCCGTGGGCCCATATTCATTTAGAATTTTCCATTTTCACTTTACGTGACCATGAGTCACGACAACCCCATAGGGTTCCCTCGAGTCCCGATT